TGAAAACAGCTATCATGTTCACTGAGTTTTCTCTTCTCCAGGTAATACACCTCCAGATCCTTCAAACAATTCTCATGTGACAAAGATTTAAGGTGCTTCATTATTCTGATTGCTGTCCTCTGGATGCACTATAAACTACTGCTTAAAAAAAATACAACATTTTAGTTGGTCTATTTAGGAGAAAGATGGAAAAATAAAACAAAAACCTTCAGCAAGAGATTTTGAGGACTGGTTGTCCCATTTCAATTATTTTCCAAAGGGAATTTGGGAATTCTGATGCTAATAACCACATAGTAAGAATAGTCAGTGATGACAAAGTCAGTACCAAGTTACTTCCACTATCTATTCTTTAAAATCCAAGTCTCAGGGCTCCTAAGGTAGTATGGTAAATATAAAATACATCTCCATGGTAAAGAATTATTATTATGATCTTAAAACAATACAGAAAATGAAGAAGTAGAAGATATCTTCAAGTTTTAAAAATAATACTATAAGCAGAACCAAGTAAAACTCTAAAGGAAGAATAAAGTTTTCTGTAAAGAATGGAGAATATTAATACAGAATAACTGACTATTTAAAGAGAGAAAAATCTTTCAATAAAGGCAGTGAAGTTTTATGTTTATGAAAAATGGCCTCAATCTCTGTACTTCTCTCCTTAAAGAAAGTAACAGGGGGTCCATTAACATAGGTAAATCAGGTAACACTAATATCTTAGAGAACAATTGAATCTAAAAAACTTGAACCACCTGCCTGATGAAAGCATACCATTATATACAATAACCAAGCTTTTCAATTATAACTTCACAACTAATATAAGGGCAGATATATTTCCAACATGGAATACTGTCAAGGAAAAGGAGTAGAAAATCACATCAAACTATAAAAGGAAGAATTGGGTAAAAAAGATTTGTAGTTAGAACATATGAGCAAACTCAACAGCAGTCCTTGATGGCAACCAAAGTCCCCTTTATCCTTTTTCATGTAGGAGCTAAAATCTCACTGATTGAGTGCATAACTGAAGAGTGACAGTGTTCCTAAGGGAGACTGGCCCATTATTATTCTGGCTAAGATGAAAACCATGTTCTCCTTCAATTCTAAAGAATTATTTAACTTCCATTCTTTCTTTAGTTGTTGTTAAAGACAGGAAGTGGACTCCTGCTTAGTAAAATACTGATGCAATTCACCAACCTCCTCTTTCAATCAGTGGGACTTAAGCATTACATACTGAAAAATATACTTATAGACAAGTAAGGATGAGTGACACATCTACGGAAAAAAGCAAAGCTAGCCTGGGAAGGAAGTATTTAACTAAAATGAACCCAAAGTTGCCCAATTTTAAGAGAAAGTAGCAGTGAATCTTTTGGTTTCTATGGTAGTAGATACATGACTCATGTTTTATGTTTCTGCCTAAAAGACATTTTATATATCTTCATATGAGCGTCTGTGTATATATATATATATCTTTATATACACACACAAATAGACACAAACCCCACTCCTGCCAGTTCTGAAGTCCTCTCAACAAATGTGATAAGCTTACGTTATTTGCATTTTTATTTCTTAAGGCTAAAAGGTAAAATATCAGTAGGTTTTATATGATTTCCCCAAAAACCAATTTTTATTTCTATTTTCTGTAGTAAAGAATTACACTTTCTTTAGTACACAAAAAGGGAAGTTACTAGTCATATATGGGAGGAGAAACTGTGTTGTGCAAGCGACATCTGCAGCAAGGATACTGTGGCTTTTAATACTTCTGACAGTGTTCAGTACCTCACGGACCACTTTTTTTCACAATGAATTTTTATTTCCTCATACAGTGACCAAATTGAACTAGCTATCTTAAATCAGAGTTCTCTGGACAAAGCTCCAAAAGATAAATTAAATGTAGATTTTAAACTTTATTAAGACAAAGCAGACGTTAATAATTGTCATTCATAGCATGATCAATACCATCAATCATTTGTATGGGTTCCAAAAATATTTCTTGAACAAATCCACATACAATATAAAAATGTTAGCGTCAAGGAAATGTAATTTTGCACTGAACCTTTTTCAGCACCCTATTCAGCTGGAATCATATAAAAAAGATTATAGCATTTGGTCTACTTCCTTTATCACTAAAATAGCTATTTTTGATACTAGAAACTTAATGAAATAAGGGGCTGAGATTGCAGCATTTGCATTGCAGATAAGAAAGACTACAAATATACATAATCATAGAGAAACATGAAAAATATAACCTCAGCAGAAAAGTAATGCCTTGGGGCAGCTAGGTGGTGCAGTAGATAGAGCTCTAGCCTTGGAGTCAGGAGGATCTGAATTCAAATCTGGCCTCAGACATTTGACACTCACTAGCTGTGTGACCCTAGGCAAGTCACTTAACCCCAGACTGCCTCACCAAAAAAAGCCAAAAAAAAAGAAAAGAAAAGAAAAGAAAAGAAAAGGAATGTCTTAGAAAAATGACTGATATAGATCCTAAAAGAAGCATTTGCCTACTAAAAGGTAGCAACCTAATACAAAAAGAAAAAAGTATACCATCATTCTCAATTCTTACTCATTTGAATTTTTGTACCCTAAATTTGACTGCTAGGACATTTTCTTTTTCAAAAGAACATGGTGGAGAAAATACTGACTTTAATTTTCGTTTTTAAAGCTGTAAATTCTCACTGCTAGTGCCAATATATTTTTAAGCACCTGTCAATGTTTACTCAATAAAACAACAACAAACAATAAGGATTAGACTAAGATGAACTTTAGCAGATTGCCTCATAAAGTCAACCTCCAGTTCTGAATGACCGAGTCAACCCAGGACCTACAGACAACAGATACTCCAGACTGGCCTCAGTTCTTCCAATGAGGTTCACGCCATTTTATGATGGGTGTTATGGCAAGCAGTTCAGGATCAAACCTACTAGAAAGTTCCATGGATTTTCAAAGTTTAGGAAGGGAGGGGGAAGGGGAACAAAAGAAAGGAAGAAGTATTTATTAAGCACCTACTATGTATCAGGCACTGTGCTAAAAGCTTTACAAATAATATTCTCGTATGATCCTCACCACAACGCTGGGAAGTAGATAATATTATTATCCATTTTACAGTTGAGGAAATTGAGGTAGACAGAGGTCAAATAACTTGTCCGCAGTCACACAGAGACTGGATTTGACTCAGGTCAGCCTGACTCCACATCCAGCACTCTATTCGTTGTACCACAAATTAATTATAAAGAACAAACTTGGCTCCCAAGAAAAAACATTAGAAGACAACACCGTCTGCTACTATGCAGGTGTGGTAGTTCCATTCAGTGTAGGACTTTACTGTACTGATTGACATGGTGTAATTTTACATTTTCTTCCTCTTTTCTTTCTCTCTTTTAAAAAAATTATTTGATATGAGGCTCTTTGGGTAGGGGTAAGGGGAAATCTAGGCAATACAAAAAAAGATATATACACACACAGTATTGAATATTCAGTGAGTTAAATAGTAATTTTACTTCCTACATTGAATTCTTCACAGGTTGGCATAGAGGAGTACAGCTCAGGGATGAAGGAACAAAAAGTATGCTAGAGAAGACAAAGGTCACAATATGGAAGTAGGAAAGGAATGGAAAGAGATTCCATTGTCATTCACAAAGGAAATTAGGCTGAGGGCTCTGAATTCAGTGCTCAAGAGCCTCTTCAGAGTGAATTTAAAACTTCTTAGGTAGCATATATTACTTTCATGTTCTATCTCTTTATGATACATACTGGACTAGACAGCCCACAAATTTTCTTAGATTTTTTTCTCTCAGAAACTCATGATTAGATGGGCTGGAAGAATTTATTTTTCAAAGTTACTCAGGGGTTTGCAACCACCATATATGAAGATTAAGACATAAATTTCATGCTCCTAATTATTCAGAAATCCCATTAAGTGCAAATAATATAAAATAAGAAATGTATCTGATGTTTTATTAGAGCTACTGCCATAGGACATGGTCTTACTACCTAAAAAAAAAAAAACAAAAACATTCTGGCATGTTAAGGAAATTCAGCACATGTAGTGAGTAATCCTGATTCCTCCAATTGCTCACTCTTCCCGTTCCTCCTGTCTGGTCACAGACAAAGATGAAACTTCTGTAATCTTTCAACCCATCTGACTTTCCTACTACCCTCATGTTTTTCCTCTATATGACTATGTCTTCTTTAAAAAAAAACACCACTGTATATTTAGTGAAACCAACTTCTTCATTTTCCTTTCCCACCACTCTTTCCCTACTGCTAATTCAAATACTTTTGTGGTCTTACTAACAATTTAAAAAGAAACAACAAAAAAATCCACTATCGACTTTCACTGGAATTACCTGGGAAACTGAGGTGAAATATGGGATCTTTTAACAAATGTTTTAAAGTAATGAACTCACTTCTTAGGTTGGTTACAGACATCTAGGTCACTCCTGAGTTTTTATGTTGTGTAGCAAGACTAAAGTTTTGGCAGGAAAAAGGAATATGTGAAAATATGACATATGATTTGTAACATACTTTGAAAGCCTTAAAGTGCTATGTAAATGCTAGTCATTCTTATTACGAGACGACTATGTAACTTCTTTATTGCTATTTCTCAAAAATTAAGGATTTTTATTTATCGTTCAGTTTTTTATTTTAATTATTTGGAAAGCTGATCGCACACATTCAAGTCCACTTAATGTTCAGGTTAAAATCCAGTGTTTCTAAATTACATGCATCTAGACTTGTAACAACTTGAAGAATTAGATGTGAATTGAAAGCTGATGGGAAAAATTATGGATTATATGGGATGGTTCCCTTGGGAGGGATACAAGGGGAAACCTTAGTAATGTAAAAACAAAAGACATAAAAAAAAATTATCTTTAAAAAGTTGACATATAAAAAAGCATGAAGACAAATTGGGTAATTTTATGCAAAGGTGAAAATAATTTCAGATATTCTACTTTTCCTAGGCTAGTTTTATAGGCAAGAAAATCATTAAAAGAAAATTAAACACTTACCAGACCACTTGCGGCTACAACCCAAATGTAGGTACCAGAGGTTAAAAGCTATAAAAGAAAAAAAGTACTAATTTTAAAAGAAATTCAACTGTATATTATAAACTTGCTTTTTAAAGGTCCAATTTTAACGTAATAACAATTATTTTCATTACATATGTGCTACATTTGAGAGCAATAAGCAAACTAATGAATTGCTATTTTATTGGTTTAGAATAATTTCTTGGGCTTAAGAAAGACCTTATTCTTTGATCCTCCCACAAGAAAGTGTTGGTTAATCCTGAATCCCTTCTCTGAAGTACAAGATATGTTAAATTCTAACATATTAATGAAAACAAATACAAATATTTATTTATGCATGGGTACTACTGGTTTTAATTAAAAAACACTTTTTAAAAAGTAATTGGCTTTGCCTACCAAAGTATAAACAGTAACCTTAAGTGAAATTGCTAATTGTTCCTGTCTACTTCAGTGACTAAGCAGTATTTGATCTTAAGACATAACATATCTATATAATTTCTCCCCTTTTCCACTTGTATTTTCATTCTAAAATGGGGGAAGTGAGCATTCTGAATACATAGAGGTCTTTGGTTTACTGTTCTAATGATGGCCCTTCATTATTCACCAAGATTTTTATCCTCACTTTCCAAAGAACAGAGGCAAAGTAAATTCTAGGCAATCTAGGTCTCACAATTACTTTCTTTTACATTTCACATTTCCAAAAAGTTCGACCTATAAAGAAAAACTGCGTGAGACTTTCCAACATGGAAAGAGGAGAGAGTCTGTGACTTGAAAGTTGGTGTTCACATTTAGTATTGCCTCTTCACTTCAAGTTGCCTCTTAAAGTCTTCAACACCTTTGATTTCAGAAGGGAAAAAGCACCTTTTATTAATATTACCCTAGCCTAGATCATACAATACCAGCAATCTTAGATGTCATCTAGTCCAGAGGCATATGGGAAATAGGGGAACTTAAGGTATTAGTAGATAAAGATTGAGAGCTGTTAGAGAGGAGTTAGAAAAGTGATTATTTTTTAAATATACTTTAATTGATCTTTCATTTTTATATCACCTAAATTTCTCCTAGCATACCTCCCCTCCTCCCTGGAAGAGTATTTATTAACTAGCTCTCTCTCCTTCTTCCTGTCAGTTGGGAGCAAGCACCTGATTACAAGGTTAAATACAATCCTCTATCTAGTCTGCCAAGAACAAGACTTTCAAGTTTTTATAAGTCTGTTAGTAAAGTTTTTGTTTCAAAGGAAAAGAAAGTAGCATGTGGGCATGAGAATTACACAGGGAAAACATATTTCTAGGCTTCCTTCTCAAAAACATCAAGAAAAGAAGACAAATATAAAGGGTAGACACATACAAGGTGGATCTGGCAATTCCATTAGAAGTATTTACTAAATATCAACTACGTACAAGGCACAATTAGTCTTACACAACTTTGCAATAACTTTTGTATTGTAATACTGAACTGTTCATCTCCTACCATGTTTAAATTTTCAGGTGTTTATACAAAGCATGTTAATCTAATTAGAGTGAAAGCTCCTTGATGTCAGGGCCATATCTTATACTTCTTTTGTATTTTCCTATGTGCCTACCCATGAGATTTCCCATATAGTTAACACTTTATGTTTGTTGATTTAATTTTAGATAGAAGGACTCTAGAGCCTACATACGTATTTTTATAACCTTTCCGTTGATTTCCTATTAATGGTTTTTCTATATAAAAGTGAATCTTAAATGGAAAATGCACTTGCAAGTCAAGGAATCTTTTCAAAATTGTATAAAAATGATTTTCTGAGCTAACATAAAGTTGGCTGAATTTATTAAAGCCTATTTTTCTTGCATCTTAACTTTTGGTCATTCTCCCTTTAATTAATACTTCCATATTAAAATGGAAGGAGGAAAGCAATGTGACCTAATGGAAAGAATAGTGGGTTGAAAGTCAGTTGTCCCAGTTTTACCATTAGCTAGCTATTTGAATGTGGGCAGGTCATCTCCTCTCTTTGCATCTGAGTTCCGCCATCTACAAAATGAGGGTCATCCTATGTAAGGATGATCTGAGTCTCTTACAGATCAAGTCAAATCTCCTTATTTTACAGGTAGCTATGTAAACTGAAGCTCACCCAGAGATGCTAAGCTACTTCCCCACAGTAATAAAATGAACAGAGGCAGAAATGGGGGAGTCCATCCAGCTCAGGTCTGACCAAATCTAGTGCTCTCTGCTACACGCTGCCCCTCAATGTATTTAGTCAGAGTTTGGGTTTGAATCCCATTTCCATCCCTTACTACAGATGTGACCTTAGGCAAGTATCTTTCTCGGCCTCAGTTTCTTCATCTGTTAAATGAGGGAACTGAACTATGACCTCTGAGGTTTCTTTCAACTCTAAATGGATGATCCCATGATGACCTTATCCGCTCAACTAAACTGTGAACTCCTTGAGGGCAGGGTCCATGCCTTAAACTCCCTTTTTTTCCATATTACACTCAGCATAATATCCTCTCTTTAACAGGTATTCACCATACATACACACACACACACACACACACACACACACACACACACACACATATTTAATTAACTGATCAACAATGAAATTGCAGGGGATGTAAAGGGAGAATGAACTTTCTCAGGTACTGTATAATACTTATGGAAATCAGTGGAAGATCCCTGATTCTGTCCACATGAGGAACCTCTTCCATGTACACTCCCTTTATAAGGGTCTCAGCCAGACAAATTGAATGTAAGTACCTTCGTAAGGGTCACATAGCTAGTAAGTGTCAAACGTAAAATCTGAATGCAAATTTTCATGACTTCAAGTACAGCAATCTACCAACTATGTCGCACTGCCTTCTATAATGCTTAGTATTAAAATACTGAAATATACTGCTTCTTAGGAATACAACTAGAATAACTCTTTAACTAATTAGGGTTCTTTTTCCAGAATGAATAATCTTCATAAGAAAAACTTTGAATTCCAGAAAACAAAGGCAGTAAATGTGTGTTTTATAAAAATATATACATATATATATATGTATGTGTGTATATGTATATATGTAAACACACATATGATATATACATGTATGTGTGTGTGCATATATATATATATATATATATATAAATAAAACAAAAAAAACACACAGGACTCAAAAATACTACTGAATAAATTAGTTAATGTATTTATTTCCCATTAGATTTCTAAAAATTTAATATGATTTAACATGGGAAAGCAGAACTTTTATTAGCTATACAAGGTTAGGAAGGCTAAGAAGGAGTTAATTCGTGGAGGTGAGGAGCTGAGGAATAAGTTAGCTGTGAAGGTGGCAAGAGAAGGCCTGTGCAATGTAGACAACAGATACAGTCTAACAGCAACTCCAGAAGAGGTTTCAATAGGAAGAACGGCCTTTTTTAAGTGATGTTAGTCACAAGTCGGGAATACAGGGGGAAAGAAAATCATTAACCTCAGGTTCAAAAGTCAAAGGTATACATGGTATCAAAAAGCAGCACAGAAAAAGTTTAACTTTAGATAATCGAAGAGAACCAAGAAAAGAGACAAGTGATAAGAATGGGAAACCTGGAAACATTCTGAAATTAAGTTATTTTAGACCAAGTGGGATGGCAGTACAACTTTTTGAATGGACTAGCTCATAAACTTCTCAAAGGGAAAGACCAAGTCATCACCAATATATTTTTCCTGATTGTGTGTAAGCCAGTGTGTAAGAAAGACACACTTCATTTGGCTAATTAAGTCACATGAGGGGGAAAAATGATTAATCCCCTGCATTTCATTTGGTGACCTGCCCCTACTAGGCACTTGTTTTTGAATTAAGTGAGAATTTAGATGAGCATTCTAAAGTATTCCATAAGACATAATTTAAACTTAAAGATAACACACAAGAAAAGTGAATAGACATAAAACATTTGTTTGTGAATACAGAAGTTACATAGCTTGCAAAGTTTTCTGAGAAACTTGAAAGCTCAAGCTGGTAAAGAACCCCTGAGTTTCTCACAGAAAGCTTTCTTCTGGACCTCTTACTTGACGGTATTCAACATATTAGTGCACTACAAGATCAAAATATTTCCGTAAGTGTTGGTATATAATCCAATTCCAGTGAAAACTATTATCAGATTGCTACTGACCATGAAAGCCTTCTAGTAACTGTTCTGCTTTGAGGTACCTTTTCAGAAACTTTTTCTCTGAATAGCCAACACAACCAATGAGGCCAGGGTTATAGGGAAAGGTTTCATTTTTCAGAGATTAAAACAGAGAAAGATAAATATGAATAAAATCTAGTTAAAATAAAAGTGAACATAAAATACATACTGTACCTGTAGCCCCAATATATAAATCAATGTCTTGTTTGTGATGGAAAACTGGCCCAGAATTTGTGTCACTTGAACTCTTGGAATGGAGCAGTAAAATGGTACAAACAGAGCAAATACAGGCCCGAGACTATGAAAACAAACAAAGGTGGGATTACTATGTTTGAAAAAAAAGAAAAGAACTGACATTACTTTCTGCTAAATCATTAACTTCTCAATTTCTATAAGGTTAATTATAAGCACAATATTTTTTCTAGAAATTCATTTTTAAAAGCTAATTTCTCATACTTAAAATTATATTTTTCTATTTTAAAACTCATCTTTTATGTGTATCTAAGTTTACATGTATGTACAAGTACCCCCAAGTATTTCCATTAGAAAGTAATGAACAGCACCAAAAATAGCAATTTTAGCAAATGGTAACGCACAGTTACTGAACATATTGAAAATTGTTTTCATTAAGAACACAGAAAATAAGTATTTCAAATTTTCTTTTGTGGTAGTTAACATCCATAACAATTTAATCTCAAAGAGATCAGTGCTTCTAAGTGGGACAACCCCATGACCTGATTTAAGCATGGTAAAGTAATGTGACTGAGGCGCTATGAACTCACCACTAGTCTTCTGATGTATTTTCTATTTGCCATGCAATCTCTCCCAGTAATTCAAATAAAATGCTGTTGCACCAAGACAAGTAAAGTAAAAGACTGCCTCCCCATCTGCCTCACTCTCACTTCATGAATTTTATGCACTGATATATAAAGAAACAGTTTGCAAAAACTGTGTGTTCCTAGACGATGACCTGAGTAGGTTAAAATGCAGAGACACAGTGAAAAACAGACCCAAGACTGTATTTGAATAAAAGAACTAGGTTACTCAACTCAAGGGACCAGGTGCACATAACTCACTGCTAAAGAAATGAGTATGCATCTCAAAAAAAAAGTGCCTACCACGACTGGGAAAAAACCTGCAATGACACAAACTAATTTGAGTTCAGAAGGGCATTTCTAAAATAGCTACCAAACTATCTACTTCAACTGACACTACTTAACTATTTCCTCTAACAAAGCTGATTCAAAATGATTTATAGACTGTATAATTGTGATGCCACATATAGCTGGCTATCTTCACCCTCCTAAATCATGGCTAATGCCTTTATCCTACTACATAGCATTCTCTGTTAACACTGTATTTTGAATAGACAGAAGTGCTTAAGAGACATAAAATTTCCTTCTCCACATCAAATGAGTCCTCCTTGAGAGAAATTACAAAAGCAGATTTCAGAGTCTCTGACTTTAAGGAGTTCAAAACCTCTAACGAGAGGGGCCTAACAAATAAAACTGAGGATATGGAAAGCCATACAAAATAAACAACCAATGAAGTTTCACAGAAGACAAAAACACAGATTCTTAGTGGTCAGTGAAATCATGGGAGGGACTAAGGGTCTATCTAACAGGGTTATTTAGGAAGGAAGTCTTCACGGAGAAGATGAGTCAGACACTTTTTAAAGAGGAAATGGGTGGTGGTTGGGCCTAAAGGACAGGTAAGGTCATTTTAGGGACAGAGACTCTTATTTTTTTACCTTCATATCCCTAGAGGCTGGTACAGCACATTGTACACAGTAGGCACTTAACATAATATATATTTATTGAATTTAATTGAATTTAGGAGAAATACCTTAAAAAGTAGGGATAAGTAAGTTGCTTATAAGGAAGAGTAAATAGGTTTGGGTGGTTTGAGAAGGGGGAATCCATGGAAGAAAAGACTGGAAGAACAGAGAAACAGAGTGAATGAAAGGAAGTAACCAATGTCTGTGCATTTTAATTTTACATAAAAGGTAACTGGAGTCACTTTAGGTTTCTAAGAGGTGAAAGAAATGGTCAAAATTATGCTTAAGAAAGACTCTCAATATTGTTCAGGAAGTTGCAGATAATGCAGACCCAGAACATCTCCTCATTTCTCACCTGGCTGCACTACTTTGGGACTTCTCTGACTTTCTCCACCACGTCCCAGGAATCTCATTACTGGAAAAATCTCTTTACCCGACAAGCTCATTCTTGGTTTTCTACCTCATCACCCTCCTCTGCCCGTCTGACTTGGAAGTGGAGCCATGAACTTCATTATCTCCATCTGAGGGGGGGGAACTCCGCTTAGAACATCTCGTTTCTCCTCTTGGGACTCCTCTTACTGCCTCAGCATGCTCCTCAGTGCAGTACCTGCCCCTAGCGGCACCCCTACTCCTTTTCAGAGCTTTCTTCTCTGTGCTGTCTTCCCCCTTTAGACTTTAAGCAACTTGAGGGCAGGGAATATCCTCATTTGTATCCCCAGTGTTTAGTACAGTGTCTGGCACATAGCAGGCACTTACATGTTTACTGACTGACTGACTCTAAAGGAAAGAGATTATTGTAGGCAATACATGATGGTTAAGGCCTAACAATCCTGGATTCTAGCTAATGATGGAATACTAATTATATGAGATTGTAATAGAAATATCTGTTAAAATGAGCCCCATAAGAACAAGATCTCATTTAAATAGTTGTCGATGCAAAAAAAAAAAATTTGTCTCAATTCAAAAACACAACCACCTAAATCTCTTTATTAAACCATTAACTACACCACTAATAAAGTTAATGACAATGCTTTATAAATATAATCAAGTTTTCCTTTAAACTTACCATGTGTAAACAGGTAGCTTAGCCGAAGGTTTTTGTTTTTTGAACAGGAACATATTTGATGAGCTAAAAAATGTATGGTTTTAAATGTACACAAAATATTAACTATGTACAATGACATTAAAGTTCTATTTTTGTTAACCAATTCCACTTGAGATCTGCCACCGCAGGATTTATCCTCTGAGGAACTTACTTAAGGTAGTTCTTTTCTTACGTACGATGGCAAATTACCAGATTGTGACTTTATTCACTGAACAGTTAGGTGGAATTAATTTTTGAGGTTGTATTTCAAACACAAACATAAACATAATGTTAACAACCTTAAAGACCAGAATGTATATTATGTACTTCAGTATAATAAGTTCAAGATTATTAATAACTGCAAAATTCTAAGTGACTAACTTCCAGAATAAGAGCAGACCACAGAGCACTTGTTTAACAACAACAACAAAAAAAAAACACTTGAAATCTGAGACTAGCTGTGTTTTCCCAGAGAGGGGAAACAGAAGGGGAGGAGAGAGAGAGAGAGAGAGAGAGAGAGAGAGAAGAGAGAGAGAGAGAGAGAGAGAGAGAGAGAGAGAGAGAGAGAGAGAGAGAGAGAGAGAGAGAGAATTTTATAAAATACCACAGCTTTAGTCACTGTCCAATCTTTCCTCATGACACTCCTTCCTTCCTCATGGAGCGTCATGGAGTCTTCCTTCCCTCAACTCTTGCCCTCATAAGTCAGCCTACATATTGATATATTCTTAAATACCCTAGCCTCCCAATCCCCCAATTTACTCATTTCCCATGGCCTCTCTACCCTACTACTGCTACTTGCACACGGTTATATCCCTGATCTTTTGACATCCTCCAAAAATGTTCCACATGTATATTCATAAACTCTGAAATTCTTATTATTCTACCTCATCATCTGCCTTGCAACTTGAAACTCTGTCCTTATGTTTTCACTATGGGCTCCAACTAAGGGATGGACCCTTAGGTCTTTCCCAGACCATCAGCCCCCACCACGCCCCATACTGGCTACACTGTATTTCCTTCCCTTCAATTCCACACTTATCCTCCCCTCCAGTCCTTTGCCCTTCATTCTACTGAAGATCTCACTCTGCCAATCCCCAGCCCCGGATTACTCCCACCTTTCACTGTCTTTGCTACTACTTACATGCTACGGAACAAAGTGAAGAAAATCACTAACCCACGCTGACTGGGTCCATTATGAGTTTATGTTACATAATCTCAACTGGGACCTCACTGCAGCAAGGCAGTCCTTTCATTCCTCCCTATTTGTTTCACTATCTCACGCACAACAGTGGCTTTTCATCCTTCATCAAACCTCCCATGTTCTCCCTTCCCCTATGTAAGGCAGTTGTTTGTCTTGCCCAGATCACTGCCTAAAGGAGCAGCAAATCATCTGCTCTCAAATACCTACTCAACTAAAACCTTAAAATTCACACCAGACTGAACTGTGACTAAGAAATCTAACGAGAAAATATGGTAAGTTACTCTTTTCAACCTAGAACTTCACAAAAAGTCTGCCCAAAGCCCACAGACGATAGGAAAGGCGACTCTGGCAAAGCTGCCACCAGTATGAGGTCATTCTCAGTGTGACCAGAAATGGGACACCTATAGCCAGTAAAGCTTGGTGACAGGAGGTGGAATGAGTAGAGGGCTACCCTGACAAAGCTTCCATGTGGTCAGAGAGCCCCAGGGTGGGGAACAGCAGCGGGGAGGGCTGCCGTGCTCAACTGTGCTTCCAAACATTCTGTCCTGTGATGCCAGAGAGGGTCCTAAAGATTGATACTCAAAGATCTAGTGGGCCTAATCATGGGAGATGGAGGTCAGCTCAAGAGACCAGTAGACTTGGAGCAAGACCAAGTAGGGATGACCAGGCCATTCAGAAACACAGAAGGGAGTAGAGATTGGCCCTGGTACAAAAACCTAATTTGGGAATTAAAGCTGGATAAGTGACACAAAGAAAACATTGACCAGTATCAAAAATTACTGCAAATCTACTGATTGCCAAAAAGAATCATGTATCCCCATAACAATAGCAAGCAGAAGCTCAAAGAAAAAAATGGATTTTCTGCAAGAACTATAAGTAACCCTGCAGGGAAAACTTCCAGGAATGTCACAGACAAAATCAAACATTTCTACATCAAAGAAAGACACTTAAACATCCAAAAAAACCAGTTAAGAACCAAGAAACTATAGTAAGGATCACATAAGACCAGACAGCTTTTACTAAAAACCAGGAGACCTGGAATGAAATACTGGAAAAGGCAAAAGAGACAGGCGTACAATTAAGGATAAATTACCCTACAAAGCCAAGTATAATTCTATTGGGGAAGAAACAGACCCTTAATGGAATAGAGGACTTTCAATTAGTCTTGATGAAAAAACAAACAAAAACCAAAACAGAGCTAAGTACACAGAGCTCTGAACACAAACACATGAGTCCAAAGAAATTTAGAAAAGTAAATTTATCTGAGCAATTGAAAGGGGCTCTATGATGATTAGAGCTAACACTCTAATAGGGGAGAAGAAGCAAGTGTCCCTTCAGAATCTGTCTTGAAAGGATAGAGGGAGTTAAATTTAAAAAGGAGAAAGAAGGGGATAGAACTTGGTATTTCTCATAATTGAGGTACCTAAAAAGAACATGGGAGAAAGGGAAGGGGCATGGCCATCGTTCATTTGAAATGAACAAAGGAGAGTTAAACATTCCTGGATGCTTTCTTGCTCTCTCTCTCTCTCTCTCTCTCTCTCTCTCTCTCTCTCTCCCTCCCCCCCACTCCATCTCTGTCTCTGTCTGTGTCTCACACACACACACACACACACACACACACACACACACACACAGAGTCATGGTGTAAAAATACATCAAACTTAACAACTAAGGAATGTGTTAAAAGGAAAGATAATACTGGGGAGGGAATAGTCACACACAAAACAAACTTCCTGATCCTGAAGAGATAAATAAAAAGTGTGTATGTGTAAATAATAGTAATGATAACAATGACAGCTAACATTTATATAGCACTTACCATGTAGCAGGCACTGTGCTAAGCACTTTACTATTGTTACCTTATTTGATCCTTACAACAACCCTGGGAGGTGAATGCTATTAATATCTCCATTTCACAGATGAGGAAACTAAGGCAAACAAAGGTTAAGTGACTTGCCTAGGGTCACACAGGTAGTAAGAGAAAAGCAAAGAATTCAAATATAAGGGAGTGCCTTAGATTGCGTCTTAGACAACTAGAGCATGGCTGAACAAACTATGGCAGAGGAATGCAATGCAATATTACTGTGCCATAAGAAAATAACAAAAGATGCAATTGCAGAGAATCCTCAATAATATAAACTGATGCAAAATGTAAGTGAGCAGGAGAAAAATTTATACAAGGACAGCAGCAGCGGAAAACAAAAACAACTCTGACTTCAAGAACTCTAATTAATGCAATGACACTTTTCTCTAGAGGACCTAACATAGGGAATGGATTCAAGGCACAGAGAAATGCATTTCTGGACTTGACACAGTTTATTTGTTGGCTACGTTTATTTGTTACTGTGTTTTTTCTTTTTCCTTTCTCTAGGCTGTTGATTGTGGGGGAAAGGTTGGAAGGGATTAGAAATAGTGATGCCCTTCCCCCTAAAAGCGGGCCACTCTAATGGTTTTTAAGTAGAATGAAGTTCTGAAGGAAGCACAGACAAGCAAGACAGTTTTGAAAATAACAAGTATAATTTATTATATACTTTTTAGAAAAGTTGTATGATGTAAGAGATTCATGGTTTTAGAAACTCCTTTTTTGTGTTTTGCTGTATACATGGAAATACTCTTTCTTATGTGTTTAAATTCAGAATTTTAAGCGATATTCAAAAAATAAGTCCCAAAGAACAGTGGGATTAATTTCACATGCAATACGGACATTACACCTTCTTCCTAAAGCAGCCTAGGATTTCATTCGGCTTTGATAACATCATCACACTCTTGATTCATTCTTATTCAACCAATTCCTAGGATATATGGTTGCCTGTTGAACTAATTCTACCTCCAATCCCAATCCAATTTTGTAAAGCTAAATATAGGATGTTACAATTACCACTGAGTTTCATCTTAGTTTCAACCTAGTTTCAGCCTGCCAAGATCTTGATTAAAATCTTGTTTTTAAAACCTATTAATGATCCTTTGTAGCTTTATGTCAGATGCATATTTGATAAGTATGCCTTTTTCTACACTCAGAAGTCATTTGTACCCATTATGCTTGCCTCATTTTTTAAAAATACAATTAATTTTCTTCTTCAAATGGAAATGATTTGACAACCTCAGGAAAGAACAAAATAAGAGTCCTTAACAAAGTTAATAATGATACCACATAATAACAGAAAAGAGACAAGATAAAATTTAGTACTTTTTAACAAGATGCTATCTGCCTCCCTTATAGTCAAAATGACATTGTGATTGATTATCCCTAACTTAACATGAGACAAAATAGATTTCTCCAAGGGGCAAAAGTGATGCTGGACACATGCTTCAGAAAGCCCTGATGGGATCCTCTTCAGTCATCAGTACTACAAGAAATCTCATCCCTTTCTCTGTTTGCTTTTATTCCTAAAGTGTATCTTCCATGGACTTCGAGTCTTCACTCTCATACCTAAAAAACTTTGCCTAAACTACTCCTACATACTTGGAACAATCTCCCTTATTCACTTCATAAGCTCTTAATAATTAACATATTCAACAGAGTTCACACACAGCAGATTCCTAGGCAGGCTATCCAACATCTTTTTTAAAAAAAAATACATTCACATATATGGATAAAATACATAAAAATGACCCATACTTCACTTTCAGGTTGTTATTTTAGTCACTTTCAAATAAAATTTTTAAGGTCAAAACTAAAAATTTTTATAAAGTTCCACCCTAAAGAAATCAGCAATTCATAAATTCCAAGGGACTTTTGCTAGATATTCAAACATCAGCAGGACAAGAGCCATTTCACTTCCCATTTAAAACTATGCACATGTGTGCGCTTCAGGGCAACAGACAGCTACTATATATAAAATCAGTAACAGGATGATGAAAAAAAAAAAAAAGGAACACCATAAAAGGATATCAGTAGATGATCTTCCTTCAAACAAATATGACAAGAGCAATGAGCTTCAGTTTCCTACAGTCACTCTGCCAAGTATCACTGCCTCACAAAGGACCTAAGAAATCACTAACAAGTAAGTAGAAATTTATTGTGTTTTATCAATTATGTAGGAATTTTACAAAGCTAATGCTTTTGAAATATTTAGTTTCTCAAATAATTGAAAGTGAATTTAATTCACTGGTTAGCTATGTGCACTTGCTTGAAAATGTTATCATACTATTCATTTACACTCTTGCTGTAGGGAAGCAACTGACAGTACTAATAACCTTTTCCTGTTAACTCAGTATAGAAAAGACAGAGAAACATACCAAAAATGTGTTTGCTTCTTTTTTTTCCCACTAATCATTATCATTTAATCTTTGTAGCCATATAAACTGATAAACTAATAACAGCTTAATAGGTAAACCAATAAAGAAATATAATATTAAATTGATGTTTAGGACATGATATGTGATTTGTGGACTGAGAACTAACCATTGAACTTCCTCACTGGAGGAAGAAAGCCTTTTTAAAATCAATAATCAAAGAGCATAATGATTAGTTTAGGACAGTGATTTTTCCAAGATTTTTTTCTGTTAGGAATGCAGTTAAGAAGGTTCTTTCCCAAAACATGAACTCCTGAGGTCCAGTTAAGTTCTTTTCATGCCTTTTAAAATCAATCCTTAAAATACTTAAGCATTCTCAAAATGCATATATTCTTCTAAAACAAAAATCAAACTTACTTTTTCTCTTATATTTTCTTCTGTTGTTACTGAAGTAAAAATATTTTTGGATGTTAAATAATTTTCTCTCTCCCTTTTTAATCTGATTTATCTTATTTGAAGAGAATATGAGAATTTGCGGCAGAAAATATTCTACATTCAGCTTTCTAAATAATTTTATCTTTATTAATCAAATTAATTCTCTTCTAATCTCTCCATGTATGTTACATAGCCATACCAATTAAAAGAAACCAGAAAAATTCACTCTTTCTTCTTCATTCTAAAAACACTATATACAAGATTCTGCATTAGGTACTGGGAGGTTTGCAGAGTTGAACAAGGGATTGTTCTGCCCTCCAGGAGTTTATAATCTAGTAGAGGAGATAAGAAATGCAGCATAGAAGATTCAATACAAAAGAAGTACAGTAATTGCTAAGAAAGTGGATTAGGTTTAACAGGAAATCAAAGGATAAACTGGAGTCTCAATAGAATCTACATAAATCACCAAGACTTGTAATAAGATCTATAGTATCAGCCCAAAGGAAATAATTCCTGGCAAGCAAGACTATGTGGGTACGTATGCATGTGGTTTTAGGTTTCATTAGGGAACACCTCAAAGAAAGAAAAAAGGAAAGATTAAATGATCAAGACTTTTGGAATCTATTTGAAAAGATAGTTTTCATAGAATATTCCTATATAGGAAAAATGTACATTTTTAGCAATGGATAGATGTCAAGCAAAGTAAAACAAAAGACATTTCTAGACACTCAGCAGGCTCTCTATAAATACCTGTCGATTCTCAATTTAAACATTTTTAGCACTTGTCACTGCTGCACACTGAAAATCCCAATGGCCTTGATAGTAAGAATTTCTAAGTTGAACCACCCACCAGCTTAAGTTGTTTTCACCAAAAACTTCAGGTAAATATACCAAGAGCATAAGAGGAAATGTAATTAGGGACCTATACTCAAACATGCTAGGCGTATCAATACTAACTATCCACTTCAGAGAATCACTGGGACAACCCAGAATGGCAACATATCTTCAAGAGAGTTCTATCTTTGATTCCAACCTGTGGTCTTATGCCCTCTCTACTATCAAACTTCATGTGCCCTCCTCTAGCTATAAGAGACTGTCTGAATTATTTTTACTATTAAGGAGTTAAATATTTAAAAAATCAAATTTGCTTACAAAAATTGTTCCATCACTACTTGTTATTTAATTCTTTGTCTTTTCCTGGCTAGGTGTGACTATAAATCAAAATTTGAAACTGCTTCTTGATCTCAAATCATAATACAGTTTGGGAGTAGAAATATAATTAATGGCAATGAAAGTGATTAATTTCAATGATATCCCAGTACAGTATTTATAAAGTCTCATAAGAAGTAAATATATATAAGAAGAATTTTCCTCTTAGAAAGTATACAAAATGAGGGGGGGGGGGAAAGTATCTGCCTCAAATAGCCATTATTGGATAACAGAAAATCTCAGCTTGAAAATCATGCAAGCTGGATTCTTTTCTGGTTACACAGCTCACAGTTCTTGGGCAAATCATAGAATCTTTCTAAACTTCAGTTTCTATGTAAGGAAAACAGAAGCATTTAATACCTGTCTCTGTCTACTTAGAGGGAGAATAAGTAAGCTAATAGGTGGAAGGGTTTTAAAGAGAGAAAAAATTATTGTGTAATTAATATTTATTGAAACACTCTGAGCTTAGATCACAAGATGGACACTATCTTACTATACTTATTAGACAATGTCACACTACAGATCACATCATGTCCCACATATAGGGCATCCCTTTTATGAGATAAGTCTATAACTCTGATAATAAGGTTGGCCACCAGACAAATCAATCGTTTTGGTCATAAATCATTAACAACTGAATATGATAAGTTGACATTATAAGTACAAATGGGAGAGGGTTGGCCACAAAGCAGTTTATCAGTATGCACTGCAGTATAGCCATCGTAGTCCTGGGCTTGTACTGAAAGGCATAGTTTTCAAGAAAAAGGTGACAATCTGCTAAACTCTGCCCACATCAGACCACATCTGGCATACCTTGTTCAGTTCTGAGCGACACTTAAGAAGAACACTGATAAACTGGTGACTTCCAAAGGAAGGCAATTAGGATGGCAAAAGGCCTTGAATACGTGCTAGATGATGATCAGGGGAAGAAAATGAAGATGTATCTAAACAGCTGTCACATAAATAAGCAATTAAAGTTGTTCTGTTTGCTCCCAGACAGCAGCACCAGGAGTAAAGGGTGGAAGTTCTAAAGAAACAAATTCAACCTTGATGTTGGGAAAAACTTCCTAACAATTAGAGCTGTTCAAAAGTCTAACAGGCTACCTCAGGAAGCAGAGCTTTCCCCTGCTCATAAGGGTTCTTCAAGCAAAGGGAAGACAACCACTTTTCATGCTTGGCATAGTGGAAATTCCCTTTTTGAGGGCACTATAGACTAAATGCCCACTGAGATCCCTTCCAACGCTAAAATCCTGTGATTCATATTATCTGTGCTAGAGCAAAGAATGGCTGTAATCTGTGCTAATGGAGAGAGTACCCAATCCCGATGAAATCACAGATCCTTGAGGCAGCTAGGTGGTGCAGTCAATAGAGTGCTGATCTGTGAGAAAAAATGAGCTTAAGTCCTACCTCAGATACTTAAAAGCTGTGTGACCCTGGACAAGTCACTTAACCTCTCTATGTCTCAGTTTCCTAATAAGAAGCACTTAGCTCATAGGGTTGTTGTGAGGATCAAATGAGATAACATATGTACAGTGCTTTGCAAACATTAAAGAGCTATATAAATGCTATTATTAAAATAGGAATGAAGAGTAAGCTTTTAAATTTATGGAGTAGTTTCCTTACAACAATTCCAGGAGGAAGGCAACATAGATCCATTTCACAGGTGAGGAAAGGAAGACTTGGAGGGGTTAAGTGACTTGCCTGTGGTCAAACAATGACTAGGTGCTGGACAGAGCTAGTACCTGAACCCAGGTCTTCAGATTCTTGGTCTAAAGCACTTTCTTGGGAAAGCATCATATTGGCATTCTGCTGTATTATTACATCTACTTTAATAGCAAATGACAGCAGGCCTTCATTTATTGGCCTTTTTGTATTAAGGTGGATCAGTACTTTTCATACTATAGTCTCAGGTTTATAAAAAAGAAATGACAAAAGAATCAGTTAAGAGGAGAAGAGAGCAAGGGAAGCTACACACTAATTGGACTTTGTGCTTATCAGGGCAGATCTGTCATGCTGAGTTCCTTTCTGGGTACCACATTTCAAAGGTTTGTTGACAAATTGTTGTAAGTCAAAACGAGGAAGGCCAGGATGGCAAAAAGTCTAGAAACCATGCCATATAAGAAATGGTTAAACAAACTGGGAAATTTTATAAAAAAGAGAAGAATCAGAAGGAAAATAAGAGTTGTCTTCAAATTCTTATTGGGATAAAATATGGAAGCAGTAGCTTTTTCCTATGTAAATCTAGGCAGAAAAGCAAGAACCAAGAAGTGGAAATTAAAGGGAGATTCATTCTGGCTCATTATAAGGAGAAATTTGAACTGTCAAAACTGGAATGCATTTCTTTTTGAGGTAATAAAGTTCCTATCTCTGGATCTGTTCAAGCCTGACAACCACCTATGTGAAAGGAGCTATGCAGGTGGAGACAGGGATGATTTCTCAGCTTCTTTCTAAATCTGGAATTCTAGGAAATGCAAATTTCCCTACTCAACTAGGTGTTTAAGAATATGATTAATATAAAACATTTCACATTCTGCTTTCCTTATAATCCTTTCCTCATAGTAAGCTTTCATTTCTCCAAGGAAAAGTAATAAATAGTGTCCTGTGATAGAAAAAGCATCAACTTCAAATCAGAGGAGCCAGGTTCAAAGGCTGCTTTTGCAGCTGACTGCCTATGTGACCTTGGACAAATCTCTTAACCCCTTGAGTCTTAGTTTCCTAAAGTGTAAAGTGAGGGAGTTGGTCTAACAGCACCCTGTGTTCCCTCCAACCTCTAAATCCTGTGAAATACAAAATATAAACATAACTAACAGTACACTTATATTGAGAATATACTAGATATGGGGCGTTAAGACAAGTGACAAAAGAATGGAAAAGCCAGTTTTTGCAATAGGAAACTTATTTTTCTCCCAATGTTTTATTCTATACCTGATGATTTCACAGGCAGATTAGTGACTAGCTACAAAGTTACAGGATGAATTATTTTTAGAAAGAAACAATTGGGCTTATTTTAATAAAGGACAGTGCCACTACTTCAATGTTTGCTGTACATCTACAGACCAGAGAAAAGAAACTTCTGATACAGCATTTAAATTGGACTTCAGAAGTCTAACCCATCTACTAGCTTTTCAGTCCTAGGGAGGTATATCCTCACTGGACTGTCAGTTTTTCCTGAAAACATTCCCTGTATTTTTTTTAAAAAAGAAAACAGGCACAGATAAAACTGTCAGTCAGAATGCAATCGGAGAAATGAAGAATCATCTCATAAACAGTATGAAAAGTTGATTTAATTCAATTGTCCTAGTTTATCATTATTAGTGTATTTGAATTTCATTCTACTCTGGTCAAGGCATTGTGCTAAATGCTGGGGACACAGAAATAATAACTGACCTCAAGGAGTTTACATTTATTGGGCTGGAGGAGAGGGGGAGATCAGTGGCATTTTACCAAGACAAAACATACAGTCCAATGGATAGAGAATGGTTTTGTTTTGTTTTTTAACCAACTTTGCCAATAAAATGACAGCAAGTAGCCTGTCGTTTAGCTACTTGTTTTTGATTTCTTGTTTATAAAAGGTGTTAAGGCTTCTTACGAGGAGATACAAAACACCATGGGCCATTTTACTGAACAACAAATAAGGAAACTTGGTGTTGCTGAATTCTCTTCTATTGAACTGTGTTGAGCCACTGGATGTCACTCAACTGCCTCAAACGTAAGAGAAGATAGCCTATGGAAACACTGGACAAATACTAGACCTTAGAAAACCAGGTAATTAGAGAGGGGCTAATGACAGATTCCTTTTGCCTTTTTACCTAGTATATTGTGCTCAAGGGAACAGAAGTGATTGAGACCTATTGCTGCAAACTGATCAGCATACTCTCTGGTCACTTTCTGTACTTCCCATCAGTTGCACAATAAAATAAACTTCCTGTGGCTCCTATTCCACCTAATTTTCCAAGTTTCTCATCCCTTCCTACTGAGCTTTCCTCAGACAACATTAGTTTCCTCTTCCCTGCACTGGCCCCAAAGAACCAAGATTATACATGAACAAAAGAAGCTTGATTAAAAAAGAGCAATAATTATTTGGTAAAAGACACATATAACTTCTGCCTATAAATCTGATTTTGTGCTTCTGTCTTTTCAAATACATGTTCCTTGAAATTCCCTTGTATGACACAACATTTCAGATCCTTAGAAAGCTAGCTTTTCCAAGTGTGTAAGCTAGAACTGGGGCAGGGCCAGCCTCAAAGGGAGGACAGCAGGCCTACGTGATATCATTTCATAAGCACCTGGGGAGGAAAGAAAATCATCCCCCCTCAACTGGATTTGCCAGTTCAAGATTAATTCTTTTAATTTCTGGTTATGATTCTTGCTGAAGTACAAATATATCTGAAAGGGTAACATTTATAGCTGCTAGTCATTTGATCCATGATATAAATGAATAATTTCATTAGACCTGGGTGAAAAGAAAGAAAGAATATGAGGGCATTAGGAACATTTTTGATGTTGTTTAATCACTTTTTCAGTCATGTCTGACTCTCTGTGACCCCATTTGGGGTTTTCTTGGCAGAGATAATGGAGTGGTTTGTCATTTCCTTCTCTATCTCATTTTACAGAGGAGGAAACTGAGGCAAACAGGTTTAAGTGACTTGCCCAGGATCACACAGCTAGTAAGTGTCTGAGGCCAGATCTGAACTTGGGAAGATGAGTCCTTCTGGCTACAGGCCTGGCATCTATCCACTGCGCCACCTAGCTGCCCCTATTAAGAACATAAAGGGAGACAAAGAGTAGGCCACTAAAGGCAACAAAGTGCACAGAATTCAGACATTGCAGACACAAAAACAAACTACTGACTTCAAAATTTACCTAAGGACTGGTCCTGACTCTAGGTACTTTAGAAAACTGCCTTAGCCTTTTTAGAAAATTAGTGTTCCAGTTGGTGCAGGCCAGAGTTAATTTATAAATGTTTTAGTATTTTATTTTTTGGTTGGGCAATGGGGGTTAAGTGACTTACCCAGGATCACACAGTTAGTAAATTTTATGTGTCTGAGGCCGCATTTGAACTCAGGTCCTCCTGAATCCAGGTCTGGTGCGCTATCCACTGCACTACCTAGTTGCCCCTGTTTTAGTATTTTTTAAGTGCATGTATTGAAATGAAAGTAATAACATATTCTAACTGCTGAAGTAAAGAAAACAGGATAATCTAATAATATATATCCAAAATTACACATGCTCAGAAGCCGTTTCACCAAAGAAAACTATTTCTAAGAGATAAGTTACCTTAATCCTTAGTTTCTCTTAAATTCTAGTAAATTAAGTTTTTGCCCTTTCTTTTCATGTGGCTGAAATAAGTATGTCAGTTATGCAAAAATGAGATGATAAAATCAGAAGAGATGTGAGCAACTCTATTAACCATTGCCTACCAGGCATACATAGATATAAATATACACACACAGCTTCCCAACCACAGAACATTTACTTACAAATAATTCTACAGATGCTTAGCTTGGAGAATTTTATGTTTTTTTCAAACCAGTATATAGAAAGAAGTGATTTAGAAGCAACAAGCTTTGGTAAGGAGACAGAAATTACATTTGTCACCTTTTTGCTCAAGGAGGCAATAGACTAACTATGGACAGTTTCAAGAGTCTGTTGGTTAGAGGCGGTACTACTTCAGTGGAGAAGGTTGTTTTGAGGTACAGAAGAAATCTGCAATTTCCTATAACACTCTTACCAGTCTCACTGAGCACTCTACAAGCACAAGAAAAATGTACAGATTATGGTGGCTATTTTTTCTTTAGCTAGAAAATACCACGCCCACAGCAACATTTGTACATTCTCAGGAAAGAAGAGTCTTGAGAAAATCTGTTAGTTTTTTCCCCTATCTATTCAAAATTATAAGGTACCATGCCTTCAAATTCAACTTGGTATAGACTGCCTAAATACATGAATTGGCCAACAGTCATACAATTAGGAGTATCTGAGAATAAATTAGATACAGAACAAATTCAGACCCGTAAAACAGAGCATAAACATGAATGACTCGGGACCTAGGTAAGGGTCTAGGAGGTCAATCCCTATCAAACTGCAGGCAAACTATTTTGAGAAAAACTGGTATTGGGTAAATTGATTTGTTCTCTTTCAACAGTATGTTAAGTGGCAGGATTGTGCAGAGGGACAGTTGGACCATAAAAGTATCCACTTTCCTTTGACTTTTTAAAACTGAGAAATGTGGAAAAGTATACTATTTCTGCTTCTAGTGGACATGTTTGGGTCAAGCTAAGAAGTTGAACCTGTATTCACTCTAATAAATGACTACCTGGGACAAACAAATATTTAGTCCTGATTCCTATAACTTTCATTTTCTCAGTCACCATAATAATGACTTTATATATATAGAAAACCATCAGACTAATAACTCCATAATGCTGTTTTTAAATGACATTTCCCAGGAGACTGAGTTTTGAAATATTTTGTAAATAATATGAATATTATAAAGGATGCTATGGCTACAATTTTTAAAAAGCAATATTTTACTCAGAAATGAGATTATAATAAAAGGAAGTTCAAATTTTCACAATGTCTTTTCCTAAACTACACCCCTTGTCTGGAATCCTCATGCCACCCCACCAATTTCCTAGTTTCATTTCCTTAATATATCTTGCATGTAGCCTTTCCCCTAAAATATACATGCTGTGATTTTCTCATCACCTTATTTTTATTGCACAAGATATAACTGCAACAAACATTCATTAAACACCTACTACTAAGCACTGTTTTAATCACTGGGGAAAATATGAAGGTTAAATAAGACATGGTGAAGTCCTTGGTTTTAAAGAGCTCACAATCTAGTTGAGAGATATGTCATAGACAAATAACTAGACTATAGAAAGATACAAGTTTAGGACATATCAGAAGAGAGGTACAGATCAAGCAATACACATGTTTGGAGATGAGGAGTATCATTAATGATTAGAGAAGAATATGACAATGCTTCATGGAAGAAACTGCATGTAAAGTAGCTTCAAGGATGGACAGGACTCTTAACAAGTCCAAATTGAAAGATGTGATGGAGACATAAAGACAAGACACAGAGTAAACATTAACAAAGGCATGGAGGTGGAAGAACCCAAGCTGTGTAAAAAAAGAAAACAATCCAATTTGTTTAGAGCATAGCACAAGTAAAAGGGAAGGCATGGATGTGCTAAACCATAAAGTTGCTATGGACATTAACACACAAAGGTAGATGGATGTTGGTGGTAGTATTTATGATCTGCTAGATGTAAAGCAAGTAGTATCCTTGTTGAAAATAAGAAGTTTTCTGCTAATGTCTTGGTTTCCTTGACAAAACATCTGTATACAGAGATTCTCCTGATAGATAACTGGACTGCTTTCAGAAGTAACTGCAGGGAATTCACTACTCTGCCATTTCCTCAAATACATGCTTCTCTGGTGTCTCTTAGTGTTTTTCCCTTTTCCTTTAGAACTTAAAAACACCATCTTTAGTTTATCAAGAAGCTTTTAGCTTGCTTTTCACACTTTTCTAACACAAATCAGATCACTGTGGTAACCCTCACAGTCTTCTAAATGTATGACTAATTTCATTTCCTGGCAGTGATAGGCACCACATATTAAAAATGTCCAACTGAAATTCAGCTTAAAACTATATTTCTATGCTTGCTGATGTAGGGGGCTTCACATATCATTTTATTTTAATCATACAGTGATTCACAAGGAAGGAGGGGAATTTCAGACTAAGAAGTCAGTGCTTTCCTTATACCATAAAATAGGCTTGGTCTCATCTACATTGACAATAGCATTTTCTCTTGCCCAGGACTTCTCCAGCTTTTTACTGAGCTATGATTGTGGCAACATGAAATTTTAACTTCAGACTTTTAAGCTCCGTTCATGCCCCTAACCTTCATTTTACAATTGCTGAATTTTATATCAAAGGGAATAGTTGTCAAGCATAACTAGAGACTTCTCTTAGGAACAGATGATTTATGATGCTTTTAACTAATTATCTGCTTTTAATTTTCCCCCCCAGGGAACCTCAACTCCAGCAAAAATGGAAACCAACTTCACAACCCCTCTTACAACTTTTCCAACAAATATGTCACACTGTGACCTTTATACACACCAAAGTGTAGCAAAGACCTTAATGCCTCTTCATTACAGTATTGTCTTCATCATTGGACTCCTTGGCAACCTATTAGCCTTGTCTGTCATTTTTCAGAACAGAAAAAAAATCAATTCCACCACTCTCTATTCAACAAATCTCGTCATTTCGGATATACTTTTTACTACTGCTCTTCCAACCCGGATAGCCTACTATGCAATGGGATTTGACTGGAGAATTGGTGAAAGCTCCTGTAGGATAACTGCTCTTATATTTTACATTAATACATATGCAGGTGTGAACTTCATGACTTGTTTGAGTATCGATAGATTCTTTGCTGTGGTCCATCCTCTTCGATACAACAAGATGAAAAGAATCAAACATGCCAAATGTGTGTGCATTTTTGTCTGGATGCTTGTATTTGGTCAGACACTCCCGCTACTCATACATTCTATGTCAAAGGAAGAAAATGGAAGGATAACATGCATGGAATATCCAAACTTTGAAGAAATACAAAATCTTCCCTGGATTCTTCTTGGTGCCTGCTTAATAGGTTATGCTATTCCACTTGTAATCATACTGATTTGCTATTCTCAAATATGTTGTAAACTCTTACAAACTGCCAAACAAAATCCACTAACTGAGAAATCAGGGGTAAACAAAAAGGCTCTCAACACAATTATTTTCATAATTATTGTTTTTGTTGTCTGTTTCACACCTTATCATATTGCAATTATCCAACATATGATTAAGAAGCTACAAAAAGAACCTGACTGTAAAGAACAACAAATATTCCAGATTTCCCTCCATTTTACTGTATGCCTGATGAATTTCAACTGTTGCATGGACCCTTTTATATATTTCTTTGCATGTAAAGGTTACAAGAGGAGGGTTATGAAAATGCTGAAACGTCAAGTTAGTGTGTCAGTTTCAAGTGCTGTTAAGTCAGCTCCTGATGAAAACTCACGTGAAATGACAGAAAATCAAACAATGATCTACTCTAAGTCTTCAAACGGAAGGTAATGAAGCATAAAAGCCTGTATTTACAAGAAAAATTTCTGTTCAATTAACTTTCAGAATCTCTCTCACTGGGTAATATGAATTTTCAGCATTCAAAATGGGATGATTACTTACGAAGTAATAGGTATGGAAAAAAGAAAAACCCCAAAGCACTACCCCGAAGAGTGAATGCCATATAACAAAGGCTCTTCAAGTAGATGTTGAAACAATGATTCTATGACATGATGAATCTAATAAATTACACTCTCCAACATATTTTGAGAAGTGGACCAAATGAGCCAAGAAAAGAAAAAAGTAACTTAATAAATGAAGAAGGATGAGTGTCAACAACAGAAAAACCAACAATGAAATATTGTATTAAAGTAAATTATATGAATATCCCCAAGATCCACAATGTCCCTATTGTGGGGAATTCCAGTTGTAAGAAATCCCTCCACCTAAAGTCCATCTACAACTCAGTACGTAGTTCTAGGGAATTGTTTGAGGAACTGAAACGTTATGTGACTTGTCCAAAATCACTGAGAAGAGAGGCTTTCACCAAAGTCTTTCCTGACTCCATGTTCAGACCTCAAACCACTATGCAATTAAGGTTTACTTGCTAATTAAATAAGTAAAGTATGTAATTGATCACTTACCTTGTTATAAAATAATAAAATGGAATTCCATTTGCATGGAATTAAATGGCATAACAATTACTGATGACATTGTTATTTGTAAAATTTAAACAGTTAGTATAAAAACATTTATGCAAATATTAAAAGTCTGATGAAACTGTAGTCAGAAATTGTGATTTCTTTCTAAGATAACTGTTATCTCACATGTATAGACCTTAAACTTTCAGATAAAGAAATGACTTATATAGCTCAAAGCAACAATACAAAACCTTCAAATGAACCATGATAATTAAAAATTCTACTTTGTAAATAAGAAATTATGTCTGTAGGACAGAATATCTCTATTATTGCCAAATACATTTTTGTATTATTGAGGACTAGGAATTAATATGCCTTACCAATAACATGCAAAAATTTAGAAGACTGATTAAAAATATATGAGATCACAGGAAGAATTAATTGCCCTGCATGGACTAATTCCTGATTGTGTTAAGAAATATTTTATTTTCTTTTAAAAAAGATGTTATAAATATAACAACCATCAACAAAAATAAGTAACCAAGTTAAAATATAAAATAACTAGAAAACTCAGTATTTTAACAAGAACGAGACAAATCAATTTTAAAAAAAAACAAGCAAAAATGCTTTAATCTATATTCCCTTCCAGGTACCTCTTCCTTTATTTCCTTTCTCTCTAATATATTTGTAGTTAATATGTAAATCTTGTATATTTTAAATGTAAAAATATTAATATATCTGCTTTAAAATGTATCTTTTTATAATCCTGGATACTCACTCAAGAACACGTCTATTTGGCATTTTTTAATCACAAAACTTTATCTCAAACCAGTGTTTCAGAATAAAGAGCTGAATGTTTCAAAATTAAGATTCTGTTCCTTAGTACTTCCAATTCTCTCTCTTCCTGAGAGCCTTTCAGGAGCATGACATCAGCAGAGGTAAGACTAGCAGCAACAGCTAAAGAAATGATAAGCAGGGAGAGCTTTAGTTATAAGCCGAGCAGCCAGCCCAGGGCTTGGGGAGGGCAGTGGAGAAAGGGAGGGTGGTCACAAGATGTTCCTCATCTGTAAAATGGGGATAATACCTACTTCAAAGGCTGTGAGAAAATCATGATAGAAATGAGGGCAAATTTTTTTTTGTTTTGCTTTTCTCATGCTGGGGATAATTTTATTCTCTCACTGGCGAGTAGGAGTCTTTCATTTTGTACATTTTCAATTAGGATTACCAGAAGTAGAATAGACAAAAAGGATGTCATTTGTACAATCATGATTCATGAAATTAGTTTCTATGTCAGTCAACCAGAATCGATTTTTCGCAGAATGCAAAACAGGAGTAGGACAAAGGAGCTGTGATGGACAGATGAAGAATCCTGTTACTTTTAAGTTCACTAAAATGACAGTAAATATCAAGTAGCTTGAAGAATTACTACAGGTCATATTTTCAATATGAAAAATTAGAAGTCTCATTCCTCCTGCTGTATAATTTAGCACAACTGAGTTAATGTGCATAGACTATTTCTGGATGGGTAAAACAGAATAAAATGTGGAACCTCAAAAAAAGTCATAAAGTCACTACCTTCACAATAGACTGAGGAGAAAAGCAGAGGCAAGAACTTTAAGCAAAGAGTAAAGACAACCAACTGCCCAATGTCTTTACCTCGTTCCATCTAAACATCTTGCTTTTGTTTCTACACACGATCAAATGATAGGTGATAACAATAATAATGATAACAGTAGCTGACATTTCTGCAACACCTTAAAATTATTTCATTGGAACCTCACAACACTCCTGTGTAGTAGATTCTATAGGAATTATAATTCCTATTTTTATAGATGTGGAAATTAAGGAAGTCACTTCCTAAGTCACTTTAAGTGACTTGCCCATGATACAATTAAAGCCATCTGAAACATCTATGATGTTCTTAATACTAGTGCAGTGGATGGGGGATGTGATTTTCCCTCCTCCTCCTTTAGAAGGACATAAGTTCCTTGAGGGGTTACAAGAGATATTTCATTTTTTTACTTTTGATGCCCCAGTGCCTAGCATAATGCTGCCCTACTATGTGTGCTGAACTGATGTCCAAGTTCAGCACACTTTCCATTATCCCCACTCTTCTACAAACTACTTCACTAGGGTATTGTTAGAATGCTATAAAGCAACAAATTACACCAAGAGACCAACGATGAGAAGTTTTTATGAAGTACGAATAGCACAAAAGATCATTCACTTCTGTATTGACATTAACACAAAGCTATCTGAACCATGTGTGATGTTAACACCAGCACAAGGAACGAGGGATTTGATTTTTTCTCTTCCTACTCCTCTTCCTTCTCTTCTGTCACAGGATTTAGTCACAGATGATGAAGTTTTAATATAGTAAGAAGGTTTTAAATCAGCTTTAAAATTGTGACTATACTTTTATGAGGTACAAGCAAGTCCTTTAAGGAAATGAGTGGGCACAATTGAACTGGCTGAGTAAATTTTTAGCCACACCCGTGGGGGATTTAAATAGTTAAGCCTGAGAACTGCAGGCAGTACAGGATCCAGAGCACTTTGTGGAAGAGGAGGCTGCTAGAAAAATCCTTTTCTTCCCCAGCTTTCTATGGTGTGCAACAGACTTGTTCACAGGAAGACGGTTCTGCCAGCTCTTTGTGAGTTCATTGGTTAGAGAAATTTCAAGCTATACTACAAGGAACAGAGAAAGATACGACAGGCAGATATACCTAGAAATGCAAGTTAGAAACAGCTACAAGGAACAGACTTTTGGCCCCAAAGAAAGATGGTTAAGGCCTTGAGAGAGCACTTGTCCTAGCAACTGGGAGTTGTACAATGGAGAGGAGCAGACTGAGTACCAGCAGAGATGGACTATATAAAAGCAACTCTACAAAGGCTCTGTGAAAAGAAAGTATTTCCAGGCCTTGCAGAACCAAGAGCTCTGAGTCACTTTCATCACACTTGTATTCCACACGTGCGCTGCTATATTCTAAATTTAAACTTCCTCTTCTCACTGGTACAGTATGTATTTGTGAGAGAGTGTGTCCCACAATTATGAGGGGAACGTTTTATGGCTATTATCTTCACTCTGCCATCTGAGTAAGTGACTTTTTAAAGAGTTAAATGCATCAACTAGCTGACTATTAAGGAGTTCATAAGCTAGGATTTCAGAAGGGCAGCTCCAAAGGGTAGCCCCTAGAACTTCAGTAGCAGTTGCCCCTGGGTGCCCAACCCATGAGGGCAGATTGGAAGATTATCCCAGAGAAGATACTATAGTAAAATCAAAAGAAAGGGATATATGATAAATAATGAGAGATTTGATTTAGTAAGTACCTAACTGCATATGACAGCATACTAGGTACTGAACAAAATTATATGTACATTTTGCCCATCCTCTTGCTTACAATTTAATTTGGGCACTTAAATATATATAAAATGTCAACAAAATAGTAAAATTAAAACAATAAGTCAATGAAGTTAGCTGATAAAATAAGTCAATTTTTTCATTTTCAAAATCTTATTCACTTTCAAATTAAATTTAAGAAGACATAGGCTCTCTTTTTTAGAAACAATTCTCTGTTTCAGGAAATTAAATATAATTACTTCCAGAGTATCAGTTTAACACACAAACACACACACACACACATAGCTTTAAAAGGGGAAGTACATACCTTAAATTAGCTTCTAAAAATTCTATTTCAGTTACTTTTTAGTTCCATGGTAATTTAAGGTATTCTATAAAAACATTAAGACTTTTTTTTTTAATACTGAGGTAAAAAAGGAAGAAACAACAATCATAAGGTTAGGAAGTTATCTTCGTAAGATCATTCAGGCAGAATTACATTCTTTTTCTTTCATTAGGTATAATTATACTCAAATTTTCCTAGAAAAGTTGCTGATCTTTTATCTTGAAAATTTCCAAAAGACAAGTAAGTTCCACTTTCAATTAGTCAAACGGGAATGAAAAGGAGCCAAATTCTATAAATTGTAATTTTGATTATATATATGGTTTCTAAAGGAGTCATGCTTTTCATTATAATCCATCCTTTCTGGGACTGATTCCTGCCCCAGAAATTCATCCTTGAAGATGCACCACAATTGCTCTGAAATACAATTATGAAATTCACTATATGCTACAAAACTGTTATTTACATTAAAGAATCCTGCCCAATTGCATCCCCCTCATGTGGGCTCCTCCTATCTACAAGACATTTCACCAGCCCTCAAACTCCTTATGTCCAAAGACAAACTCATCATCTGCTTCCTTGCTCTCCCTCATCTCTGTAAATGGTAATATCACACCCCGATTTGAAACCAGAGGTTACCTTTCTTTCATCTGCCACATCCAGTTAATTACCAGATACAACAGATATTTTTCTGTGTTTCTCCTATCCGTCGTATTATTTCCGTTCCCATTGTCATGGCTTAGTCCAGTAGTTTATCACTTCATTCCTTGATAACTCTAAGAGTATACTGGCTTACCTTCTTGTCTTTGACATTTCTACTTCCAATTATATGACCATATATTTAGAGTCAGCAGGGACTTTAGAGGTCACCTAGTCCAAACCCTTAAGGAACATGAGGCACAGAAGAGTTACGTGGATTCCCCAAGTTCACACAGGTGGGCAGTAAAGAGACATACCTAGAACGCCAGCCCAGTGCCTACAGCTCTAGATCCAGCACTTTATCCCTCACTTTCTTAAATCCTTTCATTGACATTTTCCTGCTAAGAACCTGGAATAACACCTCACAGTTTATATCAAGGCCACATTCATCTACCTGGTTTTCTCTGCCCTCCATTATCTAACCTCACCCTACCTCGTCAAACTCATTTTCCTTGAAACTTGAGGAAGTTCCTACTAGTCTAGTCTGCTGGTTTCCTCTCTGTCCCTTGAATATAACTTGTTAGTTCCTGCTTTACTTCCTGTTATTACCATTTGCTGAAACACTCTGCCTCCACCTAGCCAAACCCTACCCATCCTTTAACGTCCCAGTTAAGTCCTGCTTCCTCCATGATGCTTTCCTTGATGATTTCAAGTGAGTGAGGATGAATATCCTTTAACTTATAATAGCCCCTTAGTACCTGGACCACAGTTAAGGGAGAAATTAGCACTGTGATATAGTCTCATATGGCTTATTTTTTTTAAATTAAACGTACATTTTAAAATTTTGAGTTCCAAATTATCTCCCTCCCTTTAGCCCCTACCCTATCCACCCATCGAGAAGATAAGCAATGATACCCATTATACATGTGAAGTCATCTCATACGGTTTAAGAAGCCTTAGATTAGTAGCCAACATACACTGGTTCTACTTTTGATGTAACCTTGGGTAAATCAAAGTATCTTTGATCCCCTGCCTGTATAATCTTGAACATGTCTTCCAGATCTTATTTAAATAACTCTACATTTTAGTACTTCATGTATATTAGTCCTATCTCCCCAAAACAGAGTCAGCTCTTTAAGAACAGGAATCATGTCTTACCCATCTCTTTATTCTCTCCATAGACCCCAGTGCAGTCCTCTGCACAGAGTAAGCTCACTTAATCATCTGCTGATTAGTAAGACACTTTAACCAAGGAAACTCCTCCAAGGTGATAGAAATCACAAGGAGAGAGCAGAATCAGGAGAATGCTGTACACAGTAACAGCTATGTTGTGCAATGACTAATATTGATAGACTTAACCCTTCTCAGCAATATAAGGATCTAAGATATCTCCAAAGGCCACGTGACAGAAAATGCTATCCACAATGAAGAAAGTACTGTGGAGCATGAATGCAGATCGAAGCATACTATTTGCTATTTTTTTTCTTCTGTTGTGTTTTGTTTCTTCTTTCTGATGGTTCCTCCTATTGGTTCTAATTCTTACAACATC